ATCTTCCCTTATGCAAAACAATTTTGATAAGTGGAAGGACCCGAAGACCGGACTGTGGTGGGCAACTTGCAAGTGGTGCAAGAAAGAGTGTAGCTTGAGGCGTTCACATGGATACGAGATGCCAGTAAAACATATGAAGTCTTGTGACAAAGGCAAAACAACAACCAACGGTGGCGGAAAACCCAATTGATATTTATTAGAAAATGTATTTCATATTGATTTTTTTTTCTCAATTCTCAAATGTAGTTCTGATTTCAAATAAATGCACTTGAACTTTGTTTTTAATAAGAATTTGTATAAACTATAATTAAAAAAAATTAAATATGACCCGGCCCGGCGGGTGGCCTGACCCGTGACCCGGGCGAGTGACCCGGCCCGAACCGGCACCGGCCATAGCACGGGCCGGTCCCGGGCCTACCTCTAATAAACCCGAGGCCCAACCGGGTCATGGCCCGGCCCGGGTCCATCACTAGACAGGGATCAATTAACTTTGGAAATTTTTCACAAGTAGATCAAAAAGTGAAAATAATATCACTTTTTTCACTTTTCATTTTTGTTTTTAAAAATAGACGAATTGCACTTTTCTTTTCAACAATGGACCATATGCCCAAAACCAACCAACCTGGGAACTAAGAAGCTAACGTCCGCTCCCCTTCGAGAACCAACCTACTTGGGAACCTAAGAACCAATCAACGTCCCTTCTCTCTTTGTTTAAACTTATACAAACACCAGAAATTAATATAATTCTTGTTTTTAAAGTGAAAAAGGATGTAAAAATGATGAAGATAATCAAAAAATAAAAAGAATAAAAAAAAGGGGAAAATAATAAAAATACCTCAAACTTTGAAGGGGTGTGAGATGAGCATCCCAAACTTGCATATGTGATTTAAATACCCCAAACTTTATGTAAAAAGTTATTTTTGCACCATTGTCATGTATTATTTCTTTCAAAAGTGTAAAGTTATGGGGTTAATTGCATAAATTAAAATAGCAAATTAAAAGTGTTGCAATTATATAGATTGCGGGTAACATTATTTATTTCGCAATGGAAGTTTAGAATGTTGATTGTGTCTTCATGAATTCTAAAATATTTTAAATTATGTAATTAACACCATAATTTACATTTTTTGAAAAAAATAATACTTGACTACGGTGTTAAAATCACTTTTTATACAAAATTTGGGGTATTTAAATTACATATGCAAGTTTGGGGTGCTCATCTCACACCCCTTCAAAGTTTGGGATATTTTAATTATTTTTCCCTAAAAAAAATAATAGATAAATAAATAATGAAAGTATGAAAAGTCAAATAATGCAAATTAAAAAAATTGAAGATGAAAAATTGTAAATTAATATTGAAGAATGAATTTCAATTTGAAAAATAAAACAAAAAATTAAAAACAAACGTATAGAAAATTAAAAAATGAAAAAACGGAAAGGAAAAATGAAAAAGATTTCAAATAGATTAAAACACAAGAACATTGTACAAAAATAACATGTTTTGTAATGTTATTTTTTAGAAGCGTTGTACTCCATGATTTATGAAATGAAATTTTATAAAATTAATGAATAAAGCGAAATATAAAATTACAAAAAATAAAAAATAGGGACTTTCTCAAAAAATGAAAAAAACGTAAATTAGACATTAAAAATTAGAATTTTAAACTTTCTAAAAATAAATTAAGAATTTTAGGAAAAAAATTAGATAAAATAAAAAAAAAATCAAATAAACATATAAAAGTTAAACTAACGAGATAATAAAAAATTTCAAATTTAAATTTATATAATAAAAAATACATTACACATATTTTTCTAGTAATATATATAAACTACAATTATAAAAAATCAGAAAATTAATGTAACTTAAAAGTGTGTAAAATTAAAATAAAATCAGAATATTATAATATGAAAATTTAAAATGATGAACTTGAAATATAATTACATATTCAAAAAAAAATTAAAAATGAAATTTTCTAATAATTACTTTATTGTTAGTTTTTGTTTCTTATGATTTCTTTGTGTTTCCTTTTGTTGATAATTTTGATATTTTTTTTTATTGTTTCTTTATGTTTCAGGTTGCTTTTCATATTCATATATCCAAATTTAGAATTCTAGGTGTTCATTTATAAATCTATATAGATATTTTAATTTTTAGGAATTAGCATAAACAAATATAAACCTAAATAAACCAGGAAAAAAAATCTAAATTAACAATAAATAAAAATAAGCAACACGCTGTAACAAAAAATAACACGATGCAACAGGATGCAACAAAATGCAATTCATCTAGTGCAACAAAATGTAACATGATGCAACAAAAAGTAACGCGATTCAACCAAGAGCAACTCAATGAAACAGAAGGCAACACGATGCAACCAAAAGAAACACTATGCAACAAAAAGCAGTATGATGCAACAAAAAGCAGTATGATGCAACAAAAAGCAACACGATGCAACAAAAAATAACATGACGTAAAAATTACATTCACAAGTATCACAACAAATAATTCAGCCTAGTTTTTCCATTTATTACATTTATCCATGAAAAAAATTCGGTTTTGTTCTAATTTCTTCTTCCTTTTATGCATCTCAATACACAAGTCCTTATAGGTCTGTCTCTTTTGTCTTCGTTTTCCTCATTGAACTTCACGTACTTTCTGTTGTCTTATGCGCCTCCAATGCAAATGCAATCACTATAAAACAAATTCAAAATAAACTATTAGACACAACTACTACACCTATACACATATACACATACAAAAACAAGATCACCATCTCAAAACTTCAAGCAACGGGTCAACAATTATAATTTAATAATCAAAAGACTTCCTATTCAATAGTTACCAGACATCCTTAGTTGTGTTTGACCGAGTATATATAAAATAGTAGGAGCTAAATTAATAAGCTAAGGCACTAGATATCATAATTTTTTTTCCCAGAAAATAAAGCAAAATTGAAAATATTTTCAAGTGCACATTTCATAGGGAATCCGTAGGAACATTAAATAAACTCAAACAGCCACCTAACGCCAAAGCTATCCTCTGCACCAGAACAAGGTAATTTATTTCAGCATGAATTACTTAAGCATCAACCGTGCACTCAATAAACTCAATTAGAAATGTCAGAAACACACATACTAATATGTCCTTACCATGTGATATGAATCAAATATAAGTTGGGAAGCATGCTATCATAGGTTTGTCTCCCTAAGTAGCATGTGCTGCCCCTTTGCAGCCTGGATTTTTTGCCAAGGTCAAAAGATCAAGATATTGCGCCTAAACTAGTAGTATATGCTTTACTTGTTTGGTGAGACTAAGTTTTTGGTGTATTCCATAGTATATTTTACTGGTACTTAATGATCAATCAACACAACAATATGTATATACTCCATTTTTTTCAATTCTTTGCTAGGCATAATTACAGTGAATAAAGCAGATAATGATAGCTAAGTGAATACTTTAAATCTTGGAAAAATTGATAGTAATAATCCCAACTATTGGCGGTCCGCTCATAATAATCCCAACTATTGATTATTACAGAATAATCCCAACTTTAGGGACCTTCCGCCAATAATGGTGTCCCTATGAATAAATTCTTGTAGTTTCTAAAGTGGATGAGATGAGATATAACAAGTAATCCCTATAAATAATCTCAACTTTTAATTTTTACGTTTAATTTCTATTTAAAATTCACTTTTTATAGAGGTAATATATGGTCATGGACCATTATTGGCAGATAGTCTATATAGTTGGGATTATACAAAAATAATCAATAGTTAAGATTATTTTCAGCGGATCGGCAATAGTTGGGATTATTATTTTCAATTTTTCCTTAAATCTTTTACCAAACTAAAGTTAACAAATTCAAAGGCCACCACACCGCACTTCATGTCATTTAGCTGCTCTAACACAGAATACAAAAATGAATAGTAAATTTTACCTGAAATTGTCCATGTGCAGAGTGGTGTAATCCTTTTGTATAGACTCACTTCAAGTTTTGTTAAATTCATCACTAGTTCATCATGGAACTAGTTTTTAAGTTTTTAGACGTATCAACACAATAAAACAAGATAAATGTTAAATTTATACTTCAACCAGAGAAGTAGTCGACATTAGTAGCTAGAGAGCTATTATTCTGAGGTTTACCACAGATGATATTCTCCAAACGGATAGAATCGTAAGTTGAACTAAAATCCATGGACGGTAGGGACTAGGGGTAGTGACAGGGAAAACCCAAAGTGGACCCTTAGCCTCTCCAAACCTGGCCAATTTCAAACGCAATAGATGAGATCTTCCGAAGTAGAACGACATTGAGAAGACGGGCAACACAAACAACGAATCTCCTTCTCATCTTGCTACACACATCAACACCATCGGAGTCGACTTTCTCTTCTCTCACCAAATCTTAGGCACAGACTTTATGCAATGATCACGAGCGCCAGAAGGAAGAGAAGAGGCGACTATAGCAGAATCGGTAGCGCTTTTGATTGACCAGAACCTTACTAAACCGACGGTGATAGTTCTTAGTCGGAGCAAAAACAGATGGCCGGAAGTCTAGGGTTCGTGAAGTTATAATGACCTTACAAATTACAGATGGGGTTGAGATCCTTATTTTGGGGTTTAGACTATTTTTGAAATAAAAAAAATTAAATGAAAAGTTAAAAGTTTAGAGATGAAAGAAAAAAAGTTAGGCGACGTAAATGAAATGTCATAGGTAAAAGTAGCAATTACGGGATATTTCCACATTAACTTTATGCTCAGTCAAACATTGTAAACCATGTGAGTACCTTTAAGTGGGACAACGGGAGTATTTCTTTTCATTTGGTTACGATATCATGTATCGATTCATGTTAGCCGACCCCAAATTTTTTTGAGACTAAAGCTTAGATATTGTAGTTGTTGTAGTCTATTTTTGAAAAAATAATCAAAAGTGAAAAAAGTGACAGTATTTTTGTTTTTCATCTCATTTGTGAAAAATTCCGTTTTTTTAGCTCGATCATGCTATGTAAATGCCATTTGCTACAACTGGGCAACTATTTTTGGATTGGTGGGCCATCATAATACCTTAGTTGTCAAAAAAGCACAATATCCGGGGATATATGAAAACCCTCACATCATTCACGTGTACTTGAATATTCACGTGTACTTGAATACATGATTAATCCAAAAATATCCTCAAGTGCGACTAGCCTGATGGAGCTCAAGCGACAACAAATAACTCCGTACAATCATAATTTTGCTCCATTGCTCTCATGAAGCAGGAGCATATTCCTGGATGATCGACGCCAACTTATCTCTTTCCTCTACAGATTTTAGACGTATCAAGCATGTCTGCGCTACAACACTGCTGCTATTCTCCCCACTCTACAATCAGTGTCAAAGAAAAACACATGGTAGGTTGGAACACAGATTCCAGAATGCAAGGCAAAGAAATCAGGGGGATAAAAAGCTTATGCCACTTTTAGTCTTCCCAATATTGTGTTTAGTATTGTTGGAGGAACACCTTTGGTCACGACTTTGAAATTTTCCGCATTTGGTCATCCGATCACTTGTGACAAAATTATAGTAGGACTAAAAGTGTAGCAATAACAATAGTTGAAGGGCCTAAAGTGTCACTTTTAAAACAATCGGAGGACTAAATGTGTTAAAACTAAATGTCGAAGAGACAAAGACAAAAAGTGTATCTCTCACAATATCTGGGTGACTAAAAGTAAAGATATTCAATGTCGAGTATCAAAAGTGTCATTGACACAATACTCGAATGGCTTAAAAAATTTAGGGGATAATTAGGCATTTGTTCAACCTGGTTTTGGTACCAGAAAATTCTTAGTGAGAGAAAATACGGAGGAAACTAGATGAAGTGTGGAAGTTGGGGAAAATGAAATATCTGGTCTAACTAGAGAAATTTATTTTTTATATTTGTCAGAATCCATCTTATTTATTATATCTATTACTTCCTTCAACCCTTATTTAACTCCTTGTTTGACTATACAAAATTTTCATGAAAATGGATATATTTAGTCAGAGGTTAACTGTATCAACCATAGAATGCCTTCCTTATAAGGAAAGTCAAATATATGGGACAAAAGAAGAAAACATGAAAAAAGAAGGATAGAGGAAGTATATAAATATGTCAAAATATAAACAATGTATGTATGAATTTAAATTTTAAAGACACTTACAATTATTCATTTTCCTCACTTTCTTGGATGAAACCAAACACAATAAAGAAACTTTATATGTCATTTGTTTCCTTTCCCTAGTATTTTCCGAATTTCCGATATCCATACTTATAATTTGGTTTTCCTTGTATTTCCCCAGGTACAACTACACTTAAATAACACTATTTTCCTCTGACATTTTTTCCATTCTCTACTATTTTCCACATTCCAAACATAGTTGTACGCCTGGAAGCACAAGGTTAACAGAAAGTGTGGGGTCAAAACAATTCCACTATGCCTAGAGTAAGAGTATTACCGATGTGTGGAATATTGAAACGACCGAATTCTTTTGCAAGTTTGTCTTGATGCCTGGATATAGCAATGCATTAAGCACCACCCTGCCAACCTGCAAGGAAACAAAGAATAATTAAATAGTGTTTGTCAATGCTTCTCAAAAGCACTTATCTATTTTTTGGCTTAAAAAACTAAAAACATTGTTTGCAATTAAAAACTTGCACTTAATTTAAGCATTTTTAAGTCAAAAGCTGGAAGTCACCTAAACTTTGGTCGATATCTCAAACATTGGGGAGAAATTTTTATGCCTAAACTTAATGGTGCAAATCCTAAATTACCCTTCTGACACATCAATCTCCCGATACAACTTTCTTCTCCAGGCCCTCCATCTTCCCCATCGGGCTTAGGTTTCAAGGTGAACTAACCCGAACAGTTTGGTGCACATAGCCAAGAATCCCAAGATCCAAATAGCTGCTACAGGGTTGGGATCTAACCAAGCTTCTGCTGATGAATCAAGCAGGATGCGTAGAAGTCAAGCGTGGAGTAAAGGAAATACACGTGATGCATGTTCACTGGTCACATCAATGGGTAAGAGAGGGAGGAACCTCCAGTAGCCCAGACATAGAGATCATAATTGCTATTTTATTTTTTCAAAATGGAGATCGTAATTGTATGTTCTTATGTTGTTTTTATCTTTTTTCTTTCTTATCTCTTTTCTATCTTTCCTCTCTTTTTCTTTTACGGTTTATCTTCTTTATCTTTTTATGTTCTTATGTTATTTTTATTTTCTAGCTTTTTTATGCTCTTTTATCTTTTCATATTTTATCTTTCTTATATTCATATGTTATTGTTATCTTATATTTATTTATCTTTATCTTATCCGTTGTATTTTACTTTTTCTTCTTCTTCTTGTCTCTCTTCTTTTTTTGGCATCGATATCATAGATCGATTCATGTTAGCCGACCCCAAAATCTTTTGAGAATAAGGCTTGGGTGTTGTTGTTGTTGGAGATCATAATTGTAAACTTTTTTAAATATATAAATTTTACATTTGAAAGGGTATTTTTGTATCTACACTCGAATATTATATCACAAATTACTTATTCACCAAACATTAATTTTTTACTTTCTTAACTAAAAGCACTTCTATTCTCAAACACTATCAACTTTTACTATTCAACACTTTTACTAAAATCTCTAAAATAAATCACTTTTGAAAAGAAAAAGCAAATGCAAACACTATCGTACTCTCGTGCAAAACCAAGTAAAACTCTTGGAAAGAAGACATCACAAAGTTGGAATTTTAAAAGAAGCCTTACCTCATTTCGTATGAGAATAGTGGGTTTGGATTCCCGTGTACCCTTGTTAGCATCTTCTTTGCATTTTATAGAAAGCTGACCTGTGCCTCTATCCTTCCATGCATCTTTATCTGTTGGATCACTTGACTGGTAATATATTGATACACAAATTAGTTAGAAAATAAAACATCCAAAGGCAATCATACGATGAATTCTTAAAGTGTGATACTATCTATACACTCACATTATAATGACACATTTTTCTAAGGGTGTATTTGGGTGGAATGCTTCAGGAAGTTTGGAGGGACTATGTTAGATTTTTAAATTTATTTGAGATTTTATAAAAAAAATAAAAAAGTTCACATGATATGGGATTGAATATTCCAAATTCCAATAACATTTTAATCACTATTAGAAACATTCCATTTATGAAGACAGAGACTAACCAATACAGGGTGCTTTGTTGTTGGTGTTGGCCCTGGCCCTGGCCCTGGCACTGGCATTGGCATTAGTATTAGTAGTAGTATTAGTAGTAGTATTAGTGGTAGTATTATTAGTATTATTATTATGATTATTATTAGTATTATTATTAGTATTATAATTATTATTATTATTATTATCATTATTATCATCATCATCATCAATAGTACTCCCACTGTCCCATTCTAAGGTTCTCATTTTCCTTTTTTAGAGGTCCCATAAAGGTCTCAATTTCTATTTTAGGTAACAATTAAGACTCTTAAATGACATTTTAATCATCAAATATTAAAAATAATACATGTTAGAACCGACTCACAATAAGAGAGAGTAGGAAGAATCGATCAAGAAACTGATCAAGAAACGTTCATTGATGAAAGGGAATGTTTACAATAGCCTCAGACAATTCGAGATGCCCAATCTCGCAGCCCATTCTCAACTGAATACTTGCCTACCTCTCCTTTTCCCGTCCTTACTCTTTATAGTACTTCTATTTCTTTAAGGGCTGACCCATTATTCTGGATTTACTAAATGGCCCAGAATCTTCACTTATACACTATTACACTCTTTAATACTATTCTAGTATTCTTATTAGTATTATTGTCTATGTTCCTATCAATACTCCCCCCTAAACAACCACCTTGTCCTCAAGGTGGGTGATAGGAATCAGCCATGATCTTCCACTTCCACTTCATTCTTGCACCTCTCCCTTCCCAATACCTCCCAGAATGCTTGGCCATGTCCTTCATTATTTGATCTTTCATCTTCACTTCTTTCACAGCAAACAGGAGCAGAAGCTGGAGATGAAAACTCCCTGGATTTACGTTGTCAAAGATAATACTTCTTTCACCCATTTCTGCATTGTTCTTATCTCCATCTCCACTTTGACCAAGATAAGAAATTGGATGAGGTCCTACATGCTTTACATGATAACCAGACTTTGAAGCCTCTACATTGTCATCAATATTATCATACATAATTGTGGCTTTTACCGGCACCAATTATGTTGATGTGAATTTCAGAGAAGGTTTGTGATATTAGTGAGACAGATCCTTTAGTGAATAAACCTGATTTATGAAAGTTCAGTTCATGCCCTCCTGTCAAAGTGTCAACCCACAAGTTGGTAGATGAAACAAGGGTACTTGGACATTTACCATCCCGATGTACAACCTCTATTTCCTGGAGGACCTTGACTGCCTCATATCTTCCATTCAATGCCGATGAAACTTGATGCAAACTTTTATATAAATTCTGCCAATGAACTTCATCCGAGGCATCCTTTGCACAAGGGATATACAGGTTCACCGCATTCTTTTGCTCTAGTCCATGAGCTCTTTCTTCAGCCTGTAACATGTGTGCAGGTTCCCTTGTTAGTCCCAAAAGGATAACATATTGAACAGATTTAGTCCTGAGCCACCAGCAAGTATTCCAATATTGTCAATCTTAACCTCCTTACTTAGTGTAATCACACGAGTCTCCAATGCACCAGAAATATACAAGAATTTCTTCAAAACAGTAAGATGCCCAACTAACTTCCTCTTTGGTGCAACCTGAAAACTAGAGCTTGATTCAGAACTCGGATCTAATCCACACTCAGACTCGCAAGTAAAACCTTGCAAGCCATTGTAGAACCGAACAACACAACCATGCTTTTCAATCTTCGTTATTCATCCTCGTTTGATTTGTTTCTCAGTAGCATCAATGTCTGCGCTGATGATTCCCTGAAACTTCTTTCCATCATTCCCTTCTATTTCCTCAGTTTTCTCGATGTGGACAGTCGCTGTAGAGCTTTCCCAAGTATTTGAACCAGTAAATTTATCAACGACAGGTTCATATTTCATGAAAATAGAGGATAGAGTCACCACAGCAGATTTCTCCTCTCGTAACACACCATCATCGATGAACGTATCTTCATAGAGAGGTTGCTGTGGCTTGCCAGACTCCTGCGACTCGGACAGCAATGGGAACTGGAAGCTTCTTCTTCTGGTCGCATCACACCTTGAAGTGAACTGCTAGCGTATGATGAAGCCTGCGAACCTGGAGACACGGCTTGCGGAGAAGATTGCAAACTGGAAGAAAATATGGCGAGAAAACCTGCGAACGACTAGGGAGTCAACTTGTGATGATGAACTGTAAGGAGAAACAGTAGTTCGGGTAGAAGATTGCGAACTGAGAGAAATTTTTGGCGATCTCATATACTGGTTCTCTGTCTTCAGACTGCGTGTAGGCTGGAAACGCCGAGTTATGGCTTCCTTCAGAGCCTTCCAATTCTTTTCGCTCGTTTGAGTTTCCCACCATGGAAACCAGGCTAACGCTCATTCCTCCATCGCGCCAGCTGTTACTTCAACTTTATCTTTTTCTGCAGTAGCCTTGAGACTGAAATAATGTTCCATCCTAACGATCCATCCATAAACTTCATCTCCATTAAACCAAGGTAGGTCCACTTTTCTTCCAGCTTGTGCAGGTGTTCTATCTTCTGTGTGGTATCTATGATCAAAATCAGACAAAGAACGTCCGGAATTACCTCTTGATATCATGGGGCTATGGTTAATTGTCCGATGCTGCTGTTGCGAGGCGTGCGAAGAAACTTTCGCGCTTAGCGATGATCCTTGCGAACTGAGTGAAGCCTTCCGCGATTGCGAACCAGAAGAAACAGTTCGCCACTCCTTCTGCGAACTGGTGAGCGATTTGCGATACGATGCGTAAGAGGCATGGGGTCTGCTTCGCGAACTACTCCGGATTTTATTCTCCAGATTTGCGATGCTCGCCTGTATCGCCGCCATGGTCGTCGCTATGCCTTTCATCGAGGTATGGTTCCGCTCTATGGTTTCCATTCTGTTCTCCATTTTCGGCTCTCGCCCAGACCTTCCACAACTAAATCGGAAATTTTCTGGTATTGCGCCTACAGTTCCAATCACCAGAAACGATGCTTTGATACCAATGTTAGAACACTGGTAAATCTGACTCACAATAAGAGAGTAAGAAGAACCGATCAAGAATCTTCTAAAGGGAATGTTTACAGTAGCCTCAGACAATTCTATTTCTTTAAGGGCTGGCCCATTATACTAAATGGCCCAGAATCTTCACTTATACACTATTACACTCTTTAATACTATTCTAGTATTCTTATTAGTATTCTTATTAGTATCATTGTCCATGTTCCTATCATTCTCAAAATATACTCGAATTAGCTTATTTAATTATTGTCTACATAATCATGCAATTTTGTAATGGGAACCTTTAAGCGGGACGGAGGTAGTATTATTATTACTCCGTATTACAATTATTATTTTTACATCTTTGTGGAATTTTTTAGTATTAATTACAACTTGCAATTACGATATTAGTTTACTTTTAATTATTCTTTTATTTTAGTATTAATTACATTATTTATTCTTTTATATAAATAAATTTGTTAAAAAGTTGAGGCTTACGCCTTATTGCGCAATGAGGCTTACGCAATAGGCAATGCTAAGAAACCGCCTCAAACACGCAATACGCAATTTCGAAACTTGGAGCACACATGTCTTTACTCCCCTCGTAGACATCAAGCTTATCTAGAAGCTTGAAGGAGGGTAAAACGGAATGCTATGTTTTTCCGTGATCAAATGGCATCATTAGGAAATCAATAATCAAGTGATAACATTTTAGGATGTGATGGTCGATGTTCTTGATTTCCATCTCGGGAGGCCAATGCATCATTTTCTAACCATAGTTATCCGGTCTCATTTCCATCATTTGCAATGGAGCCAAAGACTCACAATTTTTTGGCTTGGGAATAAGATGGAATAAAGCAAAATGGCTCACTAAACTGTCTGCGCTTCTTTGTTATGAAGTTGTAGTCAGTCCATGCATTTTCCGACACGAATTTCATTATGGGTCATCCGGAAAGAGTCTCTCTGTGCTTTAGTATAGAGGTAAGACTGCGCACATCCGACCCCCCTTTACCCCACCATAGGTGGGAGCCTTTGCGGCACTGGGGTAATGAAGAAGAAGAAGAAGAAGTTATCCGGTCTCCAATGTCTGTAGTCTTGAAGTACTCGCAGAAATCTGCATGTGACAAAGAGGCATAAAGCTGTTTGGTGACGTTATTAGGAGCCATGTCAGGATGAGAGGTCAGGGAGGGACAAGGATGACTGTTGGTTTTTGCAGCAAGGCCACTGTGCTTGCAATTTTGCGTCATCTTTTCTCACATCAGTAAAGGATATGAGGTCGGGTGAGGTGGAGTTTCTGGTATGGGTGCTACCAGTTGGGGCTGATAGAAGTGACGAAGGTTGCAAAGATGTGGGTTATAACATCACATCCAAAGGTGGCGGCGATAGCATCTGAACCAAGGTTTGAAATTGCATATTGCGTCTTTGAGGCGGTTTCATACCATTGCCTATTGCGTAAGCCTCATTGCGCAATGAGGCGTAAGCCTCAACTTTTAAACAAATTTATACTACGTATAAAAGAAAGTACAACCAATGTAATTAATCTAGAGTAAGAGGATGATTAAAGTTAATCAATGTCCTGATGAAAGCCAACAAAATTGATATCATAAACCATCCAAAAATATGTTTGAACATAATTCAAAACAAATATTTTCTAATAAAGAAGCTAATAAATTACTATGTGTATAACTAACAAAAAAACTAATAAAATAATATAATATTCATCCACTAACTAACAAATAATCTAATAAAGTAATATTAAACTATCTAATAAAATACTATCTAATACGTAGTATAATAATCATTCACTAACTAACAAAAAAGTTAATAAAATAATATAATATTAATCCACTATCTAACAAAGAAGCTAATAAAGTAATATAAAATTCATCCACTAAATTCTCTTATACGTGGAGTACTTAGTAAGCTACCCAGTTCCCACTACCACCTATATCAATTATCAATAAATAAATAAAATACGTACACAATCAGGCTATCCGTGAAGAAAAGAACGAAAGCACACAGACGATTGTAGAAGATAAACGCGACAGAGTAGAAAGCAGGCGCCGTTTAGTCTAGAGAAGTCACTACTCACAGACGGTGATATGTATTTTTAAAATAAAATTAGTTTGGGGGATTTGGGCTGCAGCAGTCGGCGGTTATTTGTGACGCGCCTCAACATCCGCTATATAGCGGACGCAATTATCGTACGCCTTAGCAAAAAAGGTGCATACTTCTTAATTGCCTATTTGCGTTTAAGCCTTGCAACTTGAAATCCCCAAAAGTTGTAAAGTGCGCCTTATTGTGTAAAGGCGTTGCGCAATTTTAAACATTGGTCCAGACTCGTCGCAATCATTCGTCGGCATCCCTCGCTCGTCGCCATGTAGACTCGGTGCATCGTCTTTCTCTTCCTAATTTCTCAAAATACAGCTGAACTCTTATTTTTCGGCCTTCCTCACAGGCAGCCACCCACACGTTCTTTTCTTTTACAGTTTTACTGGAGCATTATGTGTTTTTAGATCAAACTAGCAGCTTCGTCACTGTTTTCATTCATCATTCATCAAGGACATCTGCTGATAATTTTCAGCTACTACTGCAGCAGTGTGTTTAATTTTTTTATTTTTTGAAAACAAATTTGCTTTCTATTCTATTAGTAATTAGTACTCCCTCCGTCCCGTTGAAAGATTCTCACTTTACTTATTTTGGTGTCCCATTTAAAGATTCTCATTCCATTTTAGGAAATAATTTACTCTCTTTAATCACACTTTTACTCAAATTTCTCTTTCCTGCACATTACATGTCAAGTCTCACAATTTTCCTCCTGCAACTAATCTCCCCTTAATTACTTTCACTTTATATGTTTACTTTTTCTAAATTTTCTTTTTCCTCTTTTTTACCATATCATTTTATTTAACCACTTGCCTAAAAAATAGTGCCATTTTGATAGGGACCGACCTATTAGGATATTAAATAAAAGAGTTAGTATAGTTATATTTCTATTTGAGCTAATAACTACATTTTGTTAGTTCAAATACTATAAATAGATGTAAAGTGGGAGTAATTGGCAGGCTTTTAGACGGATAGTCTTGGGACTAAGAAGATCGAGGTTATCTCTTTCTTTGGGGGCTTCGGCTCATTTGGGAGGCTTCGGCCTTGGATTACTATACTGTTTATCTTCTTCTCTAATAAAATCAGTTTGATTTCTTGTTCTCTTTCTGTAATTTGTTCTGGAATCTTGGGGTTTCTAACATTGGTATCAGAGCACGTGGATTCACTATTGATGTCTTGACGTGCACAAAAGATGGAAGCACGACGGGATAACTTGAAGAGGAATCATCAACGAACTATGGAGATATTGACAACGATGATCGCCAGATTGGATGCGAGAAATCAAGATCGATCGCGAACAGATGGATCAGAAGGAAATTCCAAGTATTTTCCTTCGCATCAAGAACAGAGGCTCCGCAAGGGACCTGAAGATCGATCGAGCAACACCAGGCATCATGGTAGATCTGATAAACAAAGTTCGTCGCAGTCGCTAACCAAGCCGCAGAAGGAGTCGCGAACTGTTCACTCTGGTTCGATGTCGCGAAAGGCTTCCAGCGGAAAAATGGTGAAGCTCGCAGAAAAGAATGAGCGCGAAAAAGTGGAGAAAGAGAAACGCAACAAAGTGGAGAAAGAGAAGCACGACAAAGTGGAGAAAGAGAAGCGCGAAAAAGTGGAGAAAGAGAAGCGCGAAAAAGTGGAGAAAGAGAAGGGCGAAAAAGTGGAGAAGGAAAAGCCTTCAAACCTGGAGAAGAAGCCCAAGCTGCGGCAACATTGTCGGCAAGGAAGGTCGAGGACTGTACGGCGCTGCACGAATTCGAAAAACAAAGGTCCGTCGCAGTTACAAGATACTTCTTATGGTCCTCTGGCTTCAATTCGAGTAGAAAACCCTAGTTCGAAATCTCTATCTGAGTTTCCAGAGTAGCAGCAGGAGTTGGCTATTCAGCAGCACACCTATGGAGAAGAGGAACGCAATGATAAACCATCCGTTAATCTTCAACCTGAAGATGGAGCAGTTGTTGGATTCCCCAGACGTAAGATAATTTCCAAGAACGATCTGGACCAGTCAGACCTTGAAATCGATAGGTTCAAGCTTCTTCAGGAAGGTGATATTTCTTCTCATATTGTACAGCAGATGAACTGGCCAAATGTCTTCAAGACTGAAAGAATGTATTGTCAGTCATTAGATATTACATTGGAAGGATTAAACAAGTTTGATATTCCTAGATGGGAAGGGGTTACTTCTATGAAAAATATTAAAAAAGAATTGGTGAATTATGTGTCTATGCCTCTATGCAGAAGTATGTTGCTGATTCCGACAACCAGGATCAAGTTATTGCGGGTGAAAAGGGGATAAGAGTCCAGGGTGTCAAAGCTTAACTCAAAACTAAACATTCTATGAATTCAGCAGACATAGATGATGAATCTAGTGTGTTTGGAACTGAGGAAAGAGTTTTTATAACATTTTGGTCAAACTATTTCCTTCAACAGCTAAATGATGACCGGAGAGTGTCTGCTTTAACTTCTGTAAAGTTATCTTTTATCATAGGATGTTGTGATAATCTAGAGGAGCAGAACCTAAAGCCTTGCAAAGAATATGGGAGTATTGTCCTGTTCCTTACAGCTATGGTCAGAAGAATACCAAGGAAAATGAAGGGGTATTCTTTTATCTTCATAGAAGTTTTTGTTTGGAAAACTCGCAAAGAATGCTGCTACATCAATTGGGATTCTAGACAAAGCGGACTGCCTTCATCGGACAGGCAACGAGGGAACCAAAGAATTATGGCTGATGTACTTGGTGAAGAAGGAACTGATTTTGTATTCTCATCCACAAAGTGTTGCTTGGTTTCTGTGTTGTTTCATACCAGCAAAGATGGTGCAATTTTGAAGATAGTTTGGGTTTTTTCACTCTTTGTTTCAAGAAATCAGGTAAAAATGGATTCTCCTTTTGAGGAACAAGCAGTGGTAGAAAGATCTAGATGGAATATGCCTATGGGAGCTGTTTGGTGGAATGATGTTAGGTGTACTCAAAGTACAGCAGA